ACAGATTTCACCTCACCCCACAAAGAATGGCTGCTATTAAGAAATCAGACAATAACAAATGTTGGCGGGGTTGTGGGGAGAAAGGAACCCTTCTCCATTGTTGGTGGGAGTGCAGACTGGTGCAACCACTATGGAAATCAATGTGGAGATACCTCAAAGAACTAGGATTAGAGGTTCCATTTGACCCAGCCATCCCTCTATTGGGTATCTTCCCAAAAGAATTAAAAGAATCATACCACAGTGACATATGTGCACCAATGTTTATAGCAGCACAGTTTGTAATAGCTAAAACTAGGGAACAGCCCATCTGCTCATCAGTTGGAAACTGGATAAAGAAAATGTGGTTTTTTAATAAAATGGAATACTACTCAGCCATAAAGAATGAGAAAGTAGATTCATTCATAGGTAAATGTGTACATCTTAAGGATAAACTCCTAAGTGAAATAAATAAGTCACACATATGTAAATACCGAATAGTTTCTCTGGTGTGAAAAACTAAAATAGTACTCAAGATCCTAACAGGTTAATTAGCAATGTGAAACAGGAAGAAAAGGACTAAAGATGTAGGGACAGTGAGAAGGGTAGGGCAAGGGGAATAAGGGAAAGCAAAAAAATATGAGAAAATGTAAAAATGGAATCAAAGTCTTTGTAGGTGGGGAGGGGAAGAGGGGGTGAAGGGAGGGTGGGGACAAGGGGAAAAATGAGAACCAAGACCTGTCATGTAAAGGTACAAGATCCCAGCAATGAATGTAACTGTACTGTATACCTAGAATGTACCAATATATTCACTAAATAAAAAAAGAATGACTGAATAATTTAACGTAATTGATATACCGCAGACCATTATGCAAGCACAGATGTTTAGATATTTATAGCAGGTTTGTTCTATAACTGCCTAAACTTGAAAGCAACCAAGATATCCTTCAGCATATTAATGGGTAAACTGAGGTATATCCAGACAATGGAACTGTATCCAGTGCTTGACACAAGTGAGCTCTCAAGCCATGAAAAGACACAGAGGAACCATAAGTACATATTACTAAGTAAAGGCAGCTACTGTGCAAAGGCTATGTACTGAATGATTCTAGTTATATGACATTTTGGACAAGGCAAAATGACAGAAACAGCAAAAAAGATCAGTGGCTGTTAGCACTGTGGCAGGGAGGGATGAATAGGTAGATCACAAAAGGGCAATGGAACTATTCTGTAGGATAGCATAGTGGTAGAGTCAGGTCGTCATACACTTGTCAGAACACTTCAAATGTATAATGTGAAGAAAGTACTAGTGTTGACTATGGATGTTGGGTGGTTGTGATGTATCTGTGTAGGGTTTACACACTGTACCCAGTGTAGCACTCTTGTAGTGAGGATCAGATTAAAGTCTAGCTGAGTCAGGAGCCCCGCAGCCATCTCTCATGAGAAAACTCCAAGGCCTATTAGGGCTGGAATAATCTGTCCCCTCAGGTGTGTAGAGATCTAACCTTAGACAGATAAACCGTTCCTCTCAAAAACCTCTGAAGTCCTGACTCCATTTGTCTCAGCCCCTAAAACATATAATCCAAAAACTAACATGTGGCCAATAATGATGTGCCAAATATCCCAACTCCACCCTGGTTCCACCCCTGCCTTACTCTATCCAATAGTGATCCAATAGTGCCACCCTGGCTCCACCCCCACCTTACCCTATATAAGTCTGTGCATTTGCTGAATAAAGCAGAAGTGTGCCAGAAACCTCCCCAGACTCTGCCTGGTGATTCTGTGCCTTGCCCTCCTAGTCTGGGTCCCTGAACCTTGTTCCAAGAGCAGGCTCGTGGAGGAAAACAACATTGTAGGGAATAGTGAAAGTGGGGAAGGTTGTATTTGAGGGCAGCGGGTATATGAGAAGGTCTCTGTACTTACCACTCAGTTTTACTGTGGACCTAAAATTGTTCTAAGAATAAAGACCTTTATCAGATAAAATAAGTAACTCTATATCAGCTAACCTGAAACAACACCCATAATGTATCATAAAATGAAACAGCTAATTGTAGAACTGTGAATAGCATGTTCCTACTTGTGTATGGCATTTACTGAATGTGCATTGATAGATGTGTGCATGTTAGTGTAAATGCACAACAGAATTGTATTGTTCCAAAGAATGAGATCAACATATGTAGTTCATATAGATCTGTCAAATAGTAAGTGAAAAAGGTTGAAACAGAACTTCCCATAATATCACATTTTTAATCAAAACATATTTGTATTTTCACAAGCATTTTGAAAGGACACTCAGATGTAATTAAAGCATGTCTCAGGTATAAGGGTCTAGGGATTGGGAGATGGGGATGCGGGTAGGCTGGACAGTCTCATAAAAGTTTCATTATAGCATTAATCTGTTCTGTTTGGATTTTTACTATGCGTACTATTAAAAAGTGCAATTGAATTAAAAAAAAACTCTTCCATGGCATTCTAGAAGACACCGACATTACCATTAAGAGTCTTTTTATTTGACTCACTTTTTTGGTTGAGAAACTGAGATGCAATTTAAGCAAAAGTTAATAAACTCAGCAATAAATCTGTACCCATGGAGACCAGGTATGAGAGTGGGAGGGAATGTGCAACAGATAATAGCAAAGAAGTAAAAGTAGAAATTTTTAGAATCTTTAGTAACCCCTTTGGAGGGGGAAGAGGAAGGGTGTGAGAAGAAATCAGGAAATGAAATTAAAGATGGAAAAAATATGAACAAATGAGGAAGCTATCTGAGAAAAGACTGAGCTTGCTAAAGCGGTTTCTGGGCCTATTTTCTGTCCTGAGTGTACACAAGTGCATTATCTCTGTATTCATCTGCTGATTGGACCCTTTTTGACAACCCAGTGGATTAACAAGGCTATACATCATTCTGGGGTCGAGTTGGAGAGCCCCGAAGAATTGCCTCATTCAGAAGAGACCCATCTCAGTAGAAGGGGATCAGACACAGCCACAGATAGCAAGGAAGTGACGGGAACCTGTGGTCCCCCACCCCATCCAGTGCTGCCCAAATTCCAGCTACTTTCTGCATCCTGCTCCTGCATACAGTTGTATTTGTAAAAGTCTTCCATTGCTAACAAATACCCACTGATATTCCAACATGCTACAGTAAGTGAGGGACTTGAAAAATGTCATGTAATGGTGGGAAGCCTAGGGCTTCTGACTCAGCCTCTTTTATGGCTTTTTTAAAAAAATTCTTACCTTTTATTTGTCCTGGAAGGGAAGAGGAAATGGCCTAGAGATCAGTTTAAGTTTCCATGGCATAAGTGGGAAAGATAATCTTCTTAGGGGAAAATAATTAGACCCATGAGAACCAACAAAGAAAAACATATCAACAGCTAGAAGAGATAAAAGAAGAAAATTGTGCTCATGTATTTTTGTGGGTGAATTAAACCATAAAATAGAAATTTAGAGAACAGAAGGGAATAAAGAAAATGTAAACAAAGCTTGCAAATGCTATCAAAAATATTTGGCTTGATTATGTGCTGGTGGTCCGCCACTTTGAAAGGCACTGCTGATACAGTGAAGAGGATGTGAGACACAATTCCCACCCTCAGCGGTTCGCAGTCTAACATGCAGTTTGGCACTTTGCACAGAACAAGAGCATGGACTCATTTATCCAAATGCTTGATTATGCATTGCATTCTCCTGAACTACTGGTTCCTTGCAAAGTGCAGCAAATCTTGATGTTCCTGGTCTCACGTCAAAAGGCGTTGATCCCAGCCTACATAAAGTCAGGGCCAAGAAGGAAACCAGCTATTCAAGGGAGCCTCTCGAGGGGGAAAGGCGAACGGCACTGCTTGATGCTTAGTGGCAAGTGGAGGAAAGGCCAGATAAACAGAGCAGCTAAGAGGAGAGGAAGAGGAAGAGCAGAAGCTCCTGCCTTTTGCAGGGACCTGACACGGCGATGTGCGAAATGGGTGAAACAGCCAGTTGGTGACCGTGGAGTCCAGAGTTGCCGCACAGACCCTCAGCACTCCACAATCCTCGAGCCAGGCTGGCATGCAAGATCAGGAGCCCCACCCTATCTGCATAGAGGAGGAGCCTGTGGACCAAGGTGCGAAGGATTTGTCAATGTCACACAGCAAGTGGGTTACGTGCTGGGATCAGAACTCAGGACCTCGGCCCAGGACTTTTTGGGTTGCTTTATCCAAGCCTGTGTAAGGAATGTTTCAGTCGTTAAATGAATGCAGAATATTTAGGAGTCAGAAAGAACTGGGCTTTCAATTCATTTCTACTTCTTGCTGCTGTCTTTATAATCTGAAGCCAGTTTGCTTTAATCTGAATCCTTTCGTCTGTAAAGTGGAGCTCATAACTGTAATTACTATGATGGTTTATCTCCAATATAACCCCCCTCCCTTGGTACTAGGGATTGAACCCAGAGCCTTCTCACTGAGCTACATTCCCAGCTCTGTTTTTATTTTGAGACGGAGTCTCTAAATTGCATAGGCTGAGTTTGAACTTGCAATCCTCCTACTTCAGCCTTCCACAGTACTAAGAGTACAGATATGAATCACTATGACCAGCTCAAGATTTTCATCTGTTATGGTTTAGATCAAGGATGTCCCCCACAAGGAGCTAATGTATCAATAGTCCAGCTTTTGGAAGGTTACTGTGGGGGCAGGAGATTAGGGTGTGGCAAACTGGCTGTTCAAGTGGGTATGACCTGTCGATCACAGAGACCCAGGAGATGTGTGCCCAAGTTCTGGACCTGGAACCAAACGGAAAGTGCTGTCTTCACCTCTTCTCCTGAGAACTCAAAACTGCCTAGATCTGACTGCAGCCTGAGGAGTGGGAGATCCAAATGATCGTTGTTATTAAACTCTCCACTCTGTTCTCTTTTTCACAGTGATCTGCATTCACTCTGTGGATATACTTCTTTTTCTACTTTAATTGGTCCACACTTGCTCTGTAGAGCAAGTTTCTTTTCTTACCATTAATGAATGTAAAACCTTGCTATCTGTTGCAATTAGTTTGTAAAATGTCTTTTTCAGGACAAAAAGAATCTAGAAAGAATGCCTAGAAGGAATGCTCAGGACTCAAGAACCTGGTAACAACTGAATCATGGAGAGATATCACCGACTTGCTTGTAGGAGGTGGTGTTTGGTGGGAAGAGGTGAGTCACTGTGGGTCGGGACATGTCCCGAAAAGGTAGACCTTCCCCTCTCTCCACTTCCTGGCCATCATGATGTGAGTAGTTTTCTTCTACCAGGTCCTGCTACCATGTCATTCCTGCCTTAAAGCCAGCCAAACATGCAAGGATTGAGACATCTGAATCAGCCAGAATAAACCTTTCCTCCTTTAAATTGCAAGTGTTGGGTATTTTGTCACAGCAGTGAGGAAAGTGACAGAGATAGCATCGTTGATACTTTTCCTCTGTATGTGTATGCTGCTGTCTGAATAAGAGGTAGAATGTAGTATTCTATCTCTTTTAAACTGGTCTGACTTATGACTGCTGTGACCAATGAGTAACATGAAAGTGCTATAACTAGTCTGCCAGTTCTTGGAGTAGTGTTTTAAAGGACTGGCAGCATCTGCCCATCTCTTCCATCACCCTGGAGGAAGGCCTCTACTTCCTCCCAAATACCTCCCTGCCTACAAGGAGCCCGGACCAGCCATGTGTAGGGCAGCCTCATGCACAGAAACCTGCCCCAGAAGAGTCAGCCCCAGTCCAGTTGTGTGATCATTCCAGCTGTAGCCTCAGGCATTTCATTCCTAGGCACCCTCTCGTTAAAAGGGCATGAGAAACCAGCCTTAAGTAAAACACACCTAGTTAATGTCTTCCCAGGCACACACAGAGAGAGAAACAAAGTCTGGAGCTTGTTTGCATCACAGTGATAGGTGAAGGGGGCACTGAACCTCCTGAGACTGCTCTATGGATTCCTTCGAACAGGGCCTGGGACATAATGAAGCAGAGTAAAGGATGGCTTTTTATTTTAACGACTAAAGATAAATCAATCCCAAATATCTCCACAGTAAATCCCTCAGAAAAAGTGTGACTGAGACACCCCTAATGGATGCATTTGCAGATAGCATGGAATGCACCTCCCCTCCCCTCTACCCAGCAGCCCCCGGTGCCTTGGCCTCCTGATGTGCTCCGGTCACAATAGCCTTCTCGGTACTTCGGGTGAGTCAGGTGTTTGTTTTTGCTGTTCCTATGCTAAAAGCTTTCTCTTCCCTCTTTTGGACAACGTTTGTGCTTGCTCATCTCTATTTCTGAACATAGTTGTCATCTCCTCTGAAAGTCGAGGTCCCTGCCCTCTGGGACACACCACGGAGACCCTCCCCTTCTTAGCACTTGCATCAATTTTGCATCTTTGGTTGTATTTATGAGCTTATTCTATTTGATATCTATTTAAAAAGACTTCTGCAGGGCAGGGACAACGTGTATTTTATGTTCTTTTCCTTATCACTCTATCTTCAAAGTCTAGCATCAGTTCGACCCTCAAACATGTTGACGCTCAATAAATAATACTTGCAGACAAGCAAGCTCCCACCTTCCTCGTGGTCTTTCTCCCTCAGATGAAGCATCTTTAGGTCTTCAAGGCATAGGACTTGGTTTCAAATGTGTTCCTTTTCCTTTTGACCTCTAGTTGAGGCTGCTTAGCCTGTGCTTTTTCTTCTGGCTGCCTTCTAGGCTCTGCCCTGCAGCCCCACAGTCAGTGGCTTGTTTCATCTTTGCTATTTTGGGAGGAGGCGACTCTAGCACCAAGTTGTTCCTCTTCTACAGTTGTCTGTTGTCAAACACGGAACTTCCTTCCTCAAATTTGAATAGCAGGTCTCCAGGGCTCAAAGCAAAACTGCAACCCAGGCACCCCTTTTAGGTTCCTGGTCTCTTAACACTTGCACACGTGGGCACTTTTCTCTTTGCCAGCATCCCTCTCCAACACTGAAGTGAGGCTCCCATCTTCACTCTTATGGAATATTCCGCTTCCACCACCTCCAGGCACTCCCTACTCCAGCCCTCCCCATAACGGCTGCCTTGGGGATTCACTGAACTACAAATCTGCTCCTGTTGCTTTCCTGCCCAAGACCTTCCGTGAACTCCCCTCCCCCTCACAAAGCAGTGCTTACAAATTGGCATCCACAGGCCACATCTGGCCTACAGATGTCTTTGGATTGACTTGCACAGTTAAAAAATAATAATTAGGCTGCAACATTTTAAAAAATGGGGGCTTTGACATAAAGTTTCAGATGCCCAGGTTCCCTCAAAAATATCAATGACCTAGCCGCACTCGAAATATCAAAATAATGCGTTAGAGTTGAGTAGGGGGTGATCCTTTGGGGCACTGGTCTTGAGTTTGCCTCACTCTCCACAACACAATTCTTTGAAGTCCTCTGTCTTTCAGGCTAAGTGTCCAGCAGCCATTTATCACTGCTTTTGCTATGAGTTATCCCACCAGCCACTTATGTTCCCTTCCTGCTTCCTGCAGGCTCTTGTGCTGCCACACTTTTGTTGCAAATGAGAATTCTCAACTTCCGAGCGTGTTAAGAAGTAGAAGAGGAGAAAAGAGTCGGAGAAGTCATATATCCATCTCTTAGTCCGTCATACTTCAGTATCGCAATTCGCAGACCTCTTATTCTTGTGTAAAGGGTGAAATTCTGGTTACTTTTAATTTTGTTCATTATTTTTTTCCTATAGTTCCTGAATTTTCCAAAGTAAAGAACATTCCTTTTGCAAAACTAGAATTTAAATAAAGGAGATGCATCCAGAATTTAGCTATGAACATGCAACATGGAGTATTTAATTTCCTTTTTTATTATCTAGTTTTAATGTCAGCTCTGTTATCTAAATGGGACTCTTCTTATCACTTTATATTACCATTAATTCATAAGTTAAACAAACTTAGATCATATTTTATATTTACCTTTCTGTAATTGTTTTATTGAGGTATATATAATGCATTCACATAAGTGAAAACCGTACCTATACTTAATGCATTCTGCAAATGAATTTTTTTTGGGGGGTGGTAACAGGGATCAAACTCAGGTCCTAGTGAAGCAGATGCCAGAACCACTGAGCTAAATCCCTGGCTAACCTTTTGTGAGCTGCTCTCAGATGGAGAGATTATATATCTATAGATATATATAGATATATCTATAGATATCACACACACACACACACACACACACACACACGCACATATATGACTATTCCAATTACTCGATCTTCACGATCTAGAGGGGCAGGCCAAATGGAAGATGAGGAAATGAGTGACAAGAAGCAAGAATAAATGTCTTGCTCTAGGTTTCGTTCAGAGTGTGTTGTTGAGCTGTGACGTGGAGCCAGTCTCACAGTGAAACTCTCAGCAGGGTTGTAGGAGGCAAAGGGGAAAGGCAAGGAGGAGAGGGCTGGAGAGAGCATTGCCTCCGTGACTCAGGTGCACACATCTAGGTCCTGTGCATATGGACCTCACACGCTCTTTTCGCTTTCCTTCCAACTTGCTACTCCTTCCTCTCGGCCCCTTTTCCTCCTGCTGCCTATTTGGTTATTTGTCTTGTTACAGCTCTAAGTTAACAGTGAAACACTTTTCTTAGTAGCCTATTGAGGGTTCATCTTGGCCATCAGAGTCACTGTGTTGGAGAAATTCAGCTCTGGATTCATTCTGTGCCTTTAGCAGAGCATGAAAACAGTAGCCACAGAAGTAGGGACCAGAAGTGCTGTATTCGCTCGATGGCTACAGCTGCAGATAGGATCCTCTAGGGTGATGACATCATTCAGAAACTTCAGGCAACTCCCTGGTGTTTCTCTTGTCAAATCTCAGCATGACTGCCATTGGCAGAGAATCTGTATCTCAGAAAAGAAAGGATGTTTGTCCAGGGACACGGTCCTTTGAGGCAGAGTCATGGTTAGGCAGTACTCTCCAAATAATATGAGATCTATGCACCTTTACATCAGGTTCCTGGCTAGTGCCGGTTATGTTACCATTGTCTCTCCACTCCCGTCCCACCTTCCCATCTCTGCTCTGTGATGCTGATGTCACAAATCTGTAAACTGCATTTCTTAGACTTTTCTTCTTGGCATCTTGATGTTTCCCTGTGGGAGCAAAGGACAGGGATTGCTCTGACTTTTAGCTGCTTCTAGCACACCCAGGATAAGCCGTAGGTGTTCCCCAACACAGAGGTCCAAACTCCAATCACACAGTTACTCCCTCTGATATCTAAGCATCAGCCAGGCCTGAGACCGTCCTGTGAACCCATGCTTTTGGTAACTTTCATGTTTCTTTTCTATTTTCTCACTCCTGCAGGTGGTAATTGTTTTCTGCAGTTACTCATATCTGGGTTTTCTCAATGTTTCCTTTTTGTTTTTATAACCCTCCAGCAATTACGCCATCAATCCCCAGCACTAAATGCCTTTTGTTTTAAATACCTCGCATGATTTCTCATCTTCAGACTAAACTTCAACTGATATATTACTTGAAACCTTTTACTATGCTCTATGTTTTGCAGCTTTCTTCTTATCAACATCTATAGAATCATATAATAGGTGGTGTACAGACTATAGGAAGAGAATTTAGTATTAATATTCACACACTTATTCACTTGGGACCCATGCCAGTTCTGTAACACAGTATCAAGCAGTCTTCACTACAAGTAGTTTGATGTTTTGTGGGGACACAAGTCATAAAGAGGCGAGTGTAAAGCAGAGTGTAAAAGTGCTGTGTGTGGTGAGCAGTGTCGGTGCCCGGCACACTGGGAGAGTATGAAAATGCCTCCAGTCTAAAGTGGTGAGGTGGAGAAACGTAGGGAGGACTTCCCCAGGGGGTCAGCAACCTCTAACAAACCTGAGAAACAAGTAGAAACTAGTTTACCAGATGAGTGTGCAGGTACAGCACACTATTGGGTGAGATTTTTATGGGTAGAGAGGAAAAGAGAATATGTCAAGGGCAGCGGTTACAGGCAGTTATGTCTTCTTCCCCAGAACTCACACGTTGAAGTTTTAGCCCCCAAGAACCCAAAATGTGAACTAATTTGAAAGTGAATTCTTTTTGGCAGATGTAATTATATACCATGAGGTCACAGTAGAGAAAGGTGGGCCCCTAAACCAGTGACTTGTATGCTTGTCCTTACAAAACAGGAAGAATCTGAAAACAGACAGACAGACTCACGCACACACACACACACACACGCGCGCGCGCGCCATGTGAAGATGAAGGCAGAAATTGAGATGTTGCCTCTCTAAGCCAACAACTACAAAAGCTCAGAACAGACTGGATTCTCCTTTACAGCCCTCAGAAGGAGCCTGTCCTCCTGCCGTCTTCATCTCAGCTGCTAGACATCGGA